CTAGAACATTATATATATATATATATATATATATATATATATATATATATATAGATAGGGAAGGGCCAATTTAAAAACAAATAAATAAAACTTTACTTTTTATTTGTTTTGTTCCGTAAAATATTCTTCCTTTTATTTGAGGTGAGGGAGCCATTTCATTTATTACTAGAGCTTTTTTGTTCTAGAATCTTTGTGTTTAAAGCTTTTATATTTTGAAGTGGTTTAACTACTATAAACTGACTGATATTCAAGAAAGACTTTTCTGTGAAGTATATTGGATTGATGGAGGGTCAATAAACTCATTTTGTTTCTTTTTTTCCATAGCAGTTTTGTCCAATAAAAAATAAATACTAAGTGCCAGCTGTTCTCAGTGAATTCTGTAAGATATGATATGGCCTCTGAGTTAGTATTAAAATTATATTGTCAGTATGATTGAAGGGATCCCATTTTTTAAAAACTTTGTAGTGGTGGAAGTGAGTGAGATCCAGTGAAAACATTAATTGAAATACTTGTATTGCCATTATCACTAAGGAAAACTACCTAACCATCTTATTTGAGATCTTTCTGCTCTCTCATTCCTGAATTTTAGAAGTCAAAAGATTTTCCATAAAGAAATCCTTTATGAGAGAGAGTAAAAGTTTATTGGGGTGATCAGAATTTATTTTAAATTAAAATTATTGCCAAAACTAGGCTAACCTTGATAGTTTTAACATCTTAACAACCCATGATATGGTCTAATATTTGACTTTTTAAATAGAGATTTAATATTTAAAAGTAAATATCAGAGATATGCTTCAAAGAAAAAGTCATTAGTAGATAGTGTTTTACTGAATATTATTATTTATAATTAAATAAGGGCATAGTACTGTCTAACATACACCATTCGTTAAAGTTTTGTTCATATCGATAAGGACTGGCATACATAAAGTAAGAACTACTTTGTTTCCAAAGGAAGACAAGGCTAGGAATAAACTTGCATATTATTTTAGGAGCACAATAGACAGATTGGACTATATAATGTAACTGCTATTTGCATATAAATTACTTCATAGGTATAATCAAGAAAGATATTTGCAAATAGCAATCATGAAAATAAAAATATTATGAAAATACAAATATTCATGGGTTTATTCACTAATATATGTGAATATCGAGATTGATTCATATGCAGAGGAAAAGTGAGAAGGAAGTATACATAATAACAGGGCAAATTAGGAAGTAGTAGAATTTGTTTCCAGTGAGTCATTGGCTCATTTAATTGTAGAATCTCTTCTATAGTCAGTTTATACCTGTGCTGAAAACTCTAACTTTCCAGCGAGATGGTACAGCCATGCTGACCACCTTGGAGACTTGGCTGTAGAGTTCTTTCTTTTATTGCATTTCCTCAAAACCATGCAGTTAATAAAACAGTTCGTGCTGAGGTGGAGATCAGTGGTGGATTCCACAGGGGTCATAAATCTGGATGTCACTATTAGGGCTCAAAAGATCAAAGCTATGACTGATAAAATATGTGGAGATTTCATGAACTAGAAGAGAGATTTTTGATGTATTTTCTATTCCATCTTGAAAATTAAAATTTTTTCTAACTATCAAGACTTTCCACAAAGGTGTATGCACCCCATTTGGAAGTGCACCTCCCCACTCTGACCAGAGCCCTCTCCTTATGTGCTTCTCAATAACAACAGCATAGTGCAACCAGTCATCTTGTGTTAATCTAGATTTTCTCTGTAACCTGAGGAAGACAGGAAACAGGTTTCTTTTGTGCCAGAGAATACATTTTAAATTTTCCTGTAACACTGACCTGTGATGAAATTTGGTGAATTGTAAGCAGATCTAAAACAATTAAGTGGTGAAAATTAAGTATACACTTTGAAGAATCAACCTGTCATTTGGGGTTTTGAGCTGATGCAGTAAAATTGTCAGTAACTCTACAAGAAAAACCCAAACTTCGGGTGAGATTCAGAGAAAGAGAGAGGGAAGGAGGAAGAGGAGAGGGAAAGAGGAACAGAGAGAGAGAGAGAGAGAGAGAGAGAGAGAGAGAGAGAGTGAGTTTGAGAATGCATGAAAGAATTTATTTAAATCAGATTTTGAAATAAGCATGTATTTCTGAGAAGCACAACAAGACAAAACATATATTAAAAGTTTGCTTACCTAGGTAGAACAAACCTTAGGGTTTTGATTCCATTATAACATATAATAATAACTAGAAATATCTGTGAAAATAAGACTTGTGGAAACCTGTTGACTTCTTCAACAATGACCTGAAGTTAAGTCTGTAGGCTGACAAATTACAGGGACAGCAGTTTAAGATCACCTATGCTTTCTTAGTAATCTAAAAAATGCAGTGGCATGGATTAAAAAAAAAAAAAAAAAAAAAAAAAGGTTTGAGTTTGTACTAGTAGACATTTCCCTGCTCTTTTGACTTGTTTTGGTTCCTGATCCATGGAGATCATTTTATTTGAGCAAGATTTCCTGTTATTTATAACCTACAGGGAGAGTTTAAAAGGTTCTCTCACCAGGCTGTGAGAGAACAGCGCTGGACTGCTCCTCTCTGAGCTCTGTACATTCTGAATTCAGTGTTGAAGCAGTCTGTACCAACCTTGCTTAATTTAAATTAAAGATACACGCATTGTGGTTGTTATTCATGAGGACGATGTTAAACTCCAAGATGCATGGATACATATAATTGAAAAATAAACCTTTGCTCTAAATTTACTCAGTGGCCCCTGGAAGATTAAACTATTACTGTAAGCAGCCCATCGTTTCCTGCATGTATCTTAGATTTTATTTCCTGTCAGCTACTGCAAGAACTACAAAGAAGAATTAGTTTCACCGCACAGTAAATAAATGTTTTAACGCCTTGCATTATTGTTTACACTGAGCTTTGCAAGCACTTAAGCCTCAACAGATAATTGTCAGAATGGCGAAGCAATAAAACCAAGCACAGCAGCGATGATAGTACCGATGTAGTTCCCGGGAACAGCTAGTAAAACTTAGAGCTTCTTCTGAGTTTGTTAAGAAAATCACCAATTTATGAAAATGTATCAAAACACCAAAAAGAAAAAGCTAGTCACAGGAAGATTTAATAAGACCCAAGAACCTACAAGGGCTGCAGCTTATCTTTGCTTTCACATTTGTCTCTCTCTCTCTTTGTAATTTATTTTGCTTAAACCAGATGTTGGTATAAAAACTGCTTGAGAAGCGTCTGTGAGAGACACTGTGCTATCCATTTCCCAGGAAGGAAATCCATATCTCTTGTGGGTGTTCTAATTTTAAAATTAACACAGGTAAGGAGGGCAAGTTTGTTAATTTCTTTTGTGAAATAATGGCTTTTTCTCACATGTATAAATCCCCCCCCCCACACACACACACCGTTTTTTTTAGAGTTGAATTTTATCAGCTTTTCATCCTGGGCTGGGGGAAGGGAGAGAGAACTTCCTGCTCTCAGTTTTAACTACACAATGTCTGGATCCCTCCGTGTTTTCCTTAACAGGGATGTCAGTGAAAGCTATGTTCTGTCCGTGTGATGGATCTGAGGGCAAACAGGACCCTGTTAGCCATTATGTACCTATTAGCCCTGATTACCTTCTGATAGCTCCTCACCAGTTGGTTTCTTTCACTTTGACAGATCTAGTACTTTGTTTAACCTTTAAACCAGTAGGGCAATAACACAGCTGACAGAAGGGGTGAAATAATTAAGGAAAACTTCTCCAGGACATTTAAAAATCTCTAACAAGGCAGATATTTCTGTTCAGTTTGAAAACTTGTCAAGGGATGCATACAATTTCCTATAATTGCTATAGAGAAATGTTTCATAATTTTTGCTAGCTTGAAATTAATTTTAGTAATGTAGCTTAATCAAATTACTAAGTGTCTTTCTTTAAAATCTATAATTTGCACTCTCAGGAAGTAAGTTTTAATATTGCAGTACTTCTAAGAAAACTGATATCCAGGAGATTTTAATTTCTGGAAGAGTCAGAAAGGAAATATATTTTTAAAGCATTGTCTAAAAATCTGCCAAAGGTTGGAATTTTAGATTTTCTGAAATGTCTGATACATGATTTTGGAGAATAAAACAAATTATCACACACACACAAAGTCTGAGTCCATACTGTTAACAATGCCAGGCACTGAAACGTGGCCAAGAGTAATTAGAAGACAACAATATGTCCTGCACACTACTGGCTTTTATTTAGAAGTATGTCTGTGAGCAAGTTGAGTTAACAGCTTGCTAGGAAAGCAGTCAGCACTGCCTATTATTCTTTTCAGAGGTCTTCAGCATTAACCCCACCTCCCTGGCCTTCCCCCATCACCATACTTCCTTTGCTCTGAAGCCATTTGAGCTACTTCCATGAAACAGCACATCAGAACTCTTTGGATATACTTTCCATTAATCCACATGCACAAAACAGAGAAATAGAAAGAGTACTTCATTGTTGCGTGAAGATATTTAATTAAAGTCGGAACAACTTATAAATGAGCAAGTGCAAATAGTCTCTTCAGATCATTAATAATTTGGTAGTTTATAAGACATTAAAATATAATGTGTTCATTATTTTCCTTAAGTCTGCAGAGAGCATTACATAATTCCACTTGCTTAAGTGTAATCTTTCCGGCTGACATAGTATCAAAAATAAAGGTGTCTCATCCTTGTCAGATTTAAGATATTGACATCAGGAAATATCACAATAGTTTTCTAATTATGTCTGACAACTAATCTAATACAGTATTCTTTCATATATCATTTATTGTAAGTCTTACTGTTCCCTGTTATCATTCTCGTGTTAATTGATTACTATCATGTTCTCTACTTCATGGTTACATAAATAGTTCTTAAGAAACAAGGTTGGCATTTTCAATTGTTGGAAAATCCTCAAATAATATTTTAGCAGTAGAAATCTACACCATATTACAATTTATTTTTAGTAATATTTCAAAAAACCCACAATTGAGGTGGAACATTAAACATTATTATCATTGATTTATTTAGAAGAGTGTATTTTATATGACAGAATACATAAAAGGCAAGATTCCTTATTTTCAGGAGTTAGACTGAGGAAGGAGAAACCTTCCCCAAATAAAGAAAAAAAGTAATGATATAAGTACAATCAATCACTGTGTTGCATCACTATCAGTGCTGAAATTATTCTCTGGCTGAACTTGGAGTACACATGGGTGAGTGCAAGGGAAGGGAAACTTTATGAAATATCAGAACAAAGGGGACAGTCTGAGGATAAGAGGCTGGGGGAAGGCATCTTCAAACACACAAACCCATGCTACAAGATCCATAAGTGTGTGGATCTGCAGTATGCAATGAGCAGTATTAGGTTCACCTATAGAGTCTGGTATTAAAGAAAGGATATTTTGGAAAATTTCCTATTTGGAAATGAAAGCTTTGAACTCTGCAAATGAAGAATTTACTTCTAATTTTAGGACATCATTAGAGGTCACGAAAGCAAGAATAAGAGAAAATATTGCTAGTAAAATTGTTGAATGAATACGGAACTTGGGAAATTGATGACAGTCCATAAGTTTTTTTTTTTTTTGACATGCATGCTACTAAAATGTTTCTATTTAAACCTCTTAAAGACCACTGAACTCCTGACATCATGTAGAACTCAAATAAACTCTGATAGTGTCGCTCACTCTCTTTGTGTTGCTGCCATATTTATTGTCACTGTTTAGGAATGTGAACATGTAGGATGTAGACATGTAGGATGCTTGTTTTGGAGCAATGTGATCTCTCTAATGTTGAGGATTTCTTGGGTGAAGGAGAACAGCGCACTATCTGGAGCTCCTGATGAATTTCCCCAATACTGCTCTTGACTGGACTCAATTAGAATTTTGAAACAGTCCCAGCAAAAGCCATTGCTAAGCTATGAAACAGTACATATCACAGAAATTAAAGGAACTGGTTGTAATACAGGCCCAGTGACAAGAAACTATGATGATATGAGGCATTCTTATTTACGTAATTGTAAGGTCTAAACTCTAAGTCCAGAAATACCAACACTGCAGTGTGAAGATAGGTCATATATGCACAATTGCAATCAATTTCAATTGCAATGGAATCAACATTGTCAGACATAGCTACATGATTTTCCACCAAAGGAGATTTGTAATAGTTGTTTTCTTCGCTCTTCAAGTCAGCAAGGCTTGCAAAGCGCATTGCTTTTTCCCGGGGTCCTGTAAATGCCTTCCCTTAAATGCAAAGAATTTAGTTTGCACGTGGTGCACAGAATAGTCATATGTTTAGAAAAAATCAGCGCATGTCAAGGAGACATGGTTTATGGCCATCGATCTGGCATATCTGAGGATCATTCATATAAATATTTCTCTTTGTCAAAAACATGAGCATGAGCTGTGATCAAGTGTAATCTGATCTTTAAATTCAGCTTAGATAAGAGTCTCTAAAATTCCCACCTTAACAGTAGGGGAGACCATGAAGTAGACATTGCCTAGGTTTTCTCTCCAGAGCTGCTTCCCTGGGAGATGGGAAGTGATTGAAAGACAGTATGGTGTGTCCAAATACATACACTAAGGTCAGGGAATCACAGATGTATCATCTTCAGTGTATTCATTTCTTCCACAATCCACACAACCTTTTTTATTTTCAACAAAACACAGAACATGAACTTCAGACTTTATAATGCTTATATTTGTATGAGGTTTTGCTTCTTGATAGGGATCATTTTCTGCAATAATTTCTTCCCAGAAAAAGGCTTGTTATTAAATTTTATTCTTCAGTTGAGTTAATGTCCTACTATTGTTATAACAAAGTACCACAAGTATTGGCTTAAATCAGTGTACCTTTCTTCTGACAGCTCCTGGCGGAAGTCACAATCAAGGTGTTGGTACAGTTGAGGTTCCAGAGGAAATTCATTTCTTGTGTCATACTTTTGGCAGTGGTGGTGAACGTATGACACATGTGCCACAGTGGGTGATTTGTTATCACTGAAAGCTCTAAATAGTTCGCCATCGCTGTGAGATTGTGAGTACCTCTTGTCTCATGGCCTCATTACTTGGATATCTGATTTCGTGGGAATTCCCATCTCCAATTTCTTATTTCCTCTTATGAGAACTTTTGTGATTGCATCAAGTTCACCTTAGCAATCCAGAGTACTCTCTCTACTCAAGACATATACTTCCTTTTTCAAATAAGGAAATAATTTATTGGTGCTGCTAACTGGCACAAGGGAATCTCTGAGGGTCATTATTCAACTTACTGCACCTTCACAAATATATTGTTGGATTGGACAACAGTTGATACTTTTAAAAACTGCTCTAAATTGCTAATTGTTTTGGAGTTCTATACATTTTATTACATAATCTCACTTTTTTATTCTTTTTTTCCCGTTACCCTCCCTGCCCTTTCACTGCAAACACTGGGCCTGTCTGGAGCCTCAGAATTAAAGGAGAGGCTGATATTTTTCTGTGATTTCCTACTAAAGAATGTTATCCAGAAGTTGGCACCATGAGTGGATTCACACAGCAATCCTGGGTTCTGGAGTTGAGTCTGATCTTCAAAAGACTTCCAAGAGCGCCGTATGTGTCAGATTCCATGGACTCAAACGATTTCTTGCTTTCTCATAAAAGTCACCAAGAAACTGTGATCCAGGAATTTTTAAAGAGATGTTCTAGAAGAACAAAGAGGATCTCAATGATTACAAACTGTTTCTTCTAAAACTTTCATCTCTCAGCTTTGCTTTAACACTTTCAGTTCCTTACCTGCTGCTAGTGACAGTTGTTTTTCTCTTATATGTACTGCTGTGTCTGCTTTTTACCTTTGTTTTCTTCTAGAAATTATGGAAGCAGGTGTCAACTATCCATTCTCGTTCTCATGTGTATAGCCAACTAACTCTTCCTTAACTGGGCATGAGTGGTTGTCTGGCTGTCTGTGTAAAGAAGCCTCCTAGCTCTGCTTTTCTCCTTGGAAAAGGGAAGCTCATGAGAGGTCAGCATAGCTGTGACCTCAGATCAACTGTTGAAGTGACCTTGGGTACCTCATGACTATAGAATTATTATTTTATTTTTAGAAATTGTGACTCGGTGAAATGTCATAAGGAAGCCCAGGAATTTATGGTCCATTAAGTAAGAACTTTTGCCCTCTTGAGAGTATCTGGTGGAAAGCATCCTGTCACCTTAGCCACAGGGCCAGAGAAAAGACCACCAGGCATGCGCACCTGCGGTTCGTGGCTCCTCTGGACTCTCCTTCCAGTGACACACATGACTTCCCATGACTACCCTGTCCAACAAAGAAGGCCAAGCCTTGCCCAGCTGCTCTCCCTGTGACACAGAGGGTAAGAAACAAGAAGCTCATTTCTGCTTCCAATCCCAGGCTGCTTTCCAACATATTTTTCCATCAACAATAAAAATGAGAGAAATATGATCTTTTAATTTCCACATAAGAAATGTCAGTTGCTTCTGGACAGGGATTTGAAATGGTATCAGAAATCCTGACAGGGAGAACTAAAAATAGTTGCACTAAAAAATTTAACTTTCATGATTCAAAATTTAAAAATCTAACACTAATAAACTGCTGTAATGTTCAATATAAATGGTTTGTTAATGTCTTTTCTTTTGTCTCTCCCTCTTCCCATCAATCTCTTACCTCCATTCTCTTACCTTCTTTCTCCTTTTCTCTCCCTTTCTCTCTCTCCTCTCACTGCCTCTCTCCCCTTTCTTCTCTCTTTCTCTCTTCTTGTTCTACCTCTTCCCTCTCCTCTCTCTCTTTTTTCTCTCTCTCCTATCTCTCCTCTCTGTTCTCTTCTATTTTCTGTCTGTCTCTCTGTCTCTCTCTCAAAAGCAGAGTTGAGAAGTTAGATAGTTTATTAAACTATTAAATTTGTTTATTTTATGGTCACATTCTCGAGTTTCTAAGAATCATAAAGAAATATTTGTGCCATTTATTGAGATTGTTCATTCGATTAATTTATTTAGCAATTATTGAGCACTTCCAGTGCACCACACACTGCTCTAGGTGTTTGGAATATAGTACTGATAAATGAGAGAGAAAAATATCTCTGCCTTCATGAAGTTTAGATTCTTTCACGAAGAGACCATCAACAGCCAGTATACACAATGGATGTGTAATTTGCATGTTCTGTTGCAAAGTGACACCTACTATGGAGAATTGAGAGTAGGAAGCGGGATCCTGAGGAAGGACAGGGTATTTGTGGTAGTGAGCAGCCCTTACAAGGGTGGACAGTCACTGTGCATAGCCATGGGGCAGTGAGATGATAATGCAAAGGGAGTTGCATGCAAGCTGGGTCACAGTGAAGTGCTTGGTTGGAGAGATGCGATTGTTTCATGGCAGGACTGAGGGGACCAAAGCAGGAGGTCATAGAGCTCATCAGGCATGTCTGAGCCACACAGCTTGCCACTGTGGTAGCCTCGCAGGGCTTTCCTTGTCGGCATGCTGGCAATACTGTGGTGATGACTTGTTTATGCTGTGGTGGATCGAGACAGCAGAGATTGTGGGTTTGTGGAGTGGAATCCAGGTTTGAAGAGACTTGAAGTTCAGCCTCAGGGTTTGCTTTCAACCACCAGGAGACAGTGAGCCAGGGAGCAGTTCACCTTTTGGGTTGCAATTTCTTCATTTGTAAAATGTGGTAGTCAGTTATATGATTCCACTTAGCTCTCTCTTTCTCTTTCTTGGAGTCTCTGAAAGCAACAGGAATATGAGGTTAATAGGAAGGAAAGAGAAGACAGAAAAAAGGGCAAATAAAGCAGGAATGGAAATGGGCAAAGGCAGAAAAGCACAAACATAAAGAAAGAAAAATAAGACAAATTAAGTATTTCCGTATACTCTAGATATAACCATAACACATTTGCACAATCAGTTTTTCCTCATTTACATTTCTGCAAAGCTATTTTGGTGTGATACAAAGGGTAGCCCACTCAGTTCCCTGAAGGAGCTATGTCATCCATGTGGGTTTCTGGGTGTCAGATAAGACTTTGCTTGCATTTTGAGGGCCCAAATGAAATTATGGTTCATTTTCTCATTTTGGACATAAAGATTAAATAAGCTTTTTAATACTTTTGTAACCTATCCACCTTGGATAACACCATTTTAATGGAGAAATAGGATTCAAATAATTAGGAGCGTATTTTTATAATCTTACTTGCTTTCTGTGTCTTAATTAATTTTGACATCATACCAGAGTATATCTGTTTTCAAGGAGATTAACACTAAGCTTTTGCTTATCTAGTGTAATATTTTATTTTATAGGTTTTTCCTGACCCGCTCTCTTTTCCTTGCTTGACGTTTTCCTCCCTCCTGGCCATTTCCCCATTTATTAGCACCAATCTCGAGAGGGAAGATAAGAGGAAGAAATAAAATATAAATCAATTCTTTTCTATAAACTGTTACAAAAAGTGGTAAAGGGTACAGGTTGAAATAAAAAGCCACGTAAAGTTTAAGTTCAAGACGAGAGGAGATAAGGTGTTTCCGTTCTTTGTGCTTTAATATTGGTCCCAAATAGCAACGAGGATGTATTAAAATATTTATGAGCTCTACATAGCAACTGTGTATAGCTAGATAATGGTGCAAAGAACACAAAGGGAAGAGCTGGCCTTGGGAAGAAGTAAGGTACCACTGCTAAACAAGGAGTGGAATAGGGCTGGTGGATAATGCCAGAGCCCTAACTAAAGAGGAAGGGGACAGACATCGAGGTATTTGATGGTGGATGGGCTCTATTTGCTCTGAGGAGGAGCAAAAGTGAGGATGATCTGAATCAGAATCCTGATACAAAAAGAACTTTAAAAAGGATGAGGCAGAACCATCTCAGCGGGAGCGAGGCAGGAGGAAGCTAGAGAGAATAGGAAGGAATTAGATTAGCTGGCATAAGGAATAGGAAAAGGAGGAGTTAAGATACAGTGACTATTACGTAGTGTTGGAGGCTTAGGAGGTGTCTCTGGATTTGCAATGACACAGCTATGAGATTTCACCAAGTATCTTTAGCAGTCCGGGAACAGAAGCAAATCAAAATAGCTGGTAGGCTAATTCCTGACCATGTGTTATAGGGCTAACAGAAGAAAAAGAAGTAGAGAGGAAGATATGGATGTAGAGAAAATCATTCAGTGTTGTCTCATTAAATGAATCACAGTTTTTCAATAAACAGAGTTTTCATTTGATGTGGGTCTCCATTTTACAGGTGACCAATGGTAGCTACAGAGAGTCGTCCAAAGTGGTGAAAGGTCATCCGTAGTTGTTCTCATGTCTCCCTGATTCCAGGAATGCTCTTCCCCACTAATGGCTTGCTTTGTGACTTTTCTGCTTTTTGATGGGTGAAAACAATATGTAGTCAGTGGAAAGAGTACTTCGAGTTTTCCATTTTGAACTTCTTCCTGGATTGGTGATGTGCATATGACACTGGAGATGCAGGGAACAGCAGGCACCCTCCGCTCCCCAGGGCCCAAGGACTACTACAATCAGTATGCAGCTGATTATTGGCTGTGCCCTGTGCCACTGGATAGGGTATTTGGTTAGCTGAATGCACTGAATGCATTTTCAACTTTAATAGTGTTTTCCATTTCTGATGAATTTATTAAGGCATCTCCTTGGAAAGCAAGGAGAATCTATACCTTGCATAAAGGAAGAAGTTAATTGAAGATTTTGTGAACACTTAGTTGAAATTAACAGTGAGATCCAGGCAGGCAGGTGGATGCAGGAACTAAACTAGACAGGGGTTGAGGTTTTTGGGGGTTTGCTGGATTTGAAGAGTGGGTTGTGAGGTAATACAAAAGCTGGAGAGGTAAATTATAACACTGTAGGGAGGCCAGGTGACCCCATTCTCTGAGCGCATGCTTCAGAATGGAGGAAAAATTCCCAGAGACAGCCAAGATACTGAGTTGTTATGGGCTGGAAATAAGGACCTTAAAAGAATATAAGCTCTTATCGGAAGAGGATTACAAATACTGAAGGAGTGGCTTACTTCTTAGCGCGGAGGTAGCACAAAGTGATGCCTGGAGGTTGAAAAGAGGACAAATCAGGAGCCAAAATTGTTAACAGTTATGGAGACAGGGATGGGAAAAGGCTTCATGACAGTGCAGATGCCATTGGAAAGCAGAGACATAGACCATGGACTTCGTAATGTTCGGTGAAGGCTGGCAGAATTTCACTTTGGGTTTCACAGTGAACTCCCAGCACCTGTCCCACTACTTCGTCCTGGAACACACTGTCTCTGATTTTATGGCTGTATTCAAACTCTTGACCCTGTCACTCCAAACACCATACACTCTGGCTCTGGTCTTGATCTTTCTGTATTCAAAATTAAATGATTTTTCTAGCACACTCTCACTTGTAAAGCTGTGTCTTTGTAATAGTCTTTTTTCTTGGGTGAGAAATCTCAGCCCTAGCTTTTACCCCAAACCATACCTCTGTATGTGTCTTACAGGTGGAGGAGCAGCATGGGAGGAGCCTCAGAGAACAAGTGGCCTTTGAAGGATGTGGCAAAAACAATATAGAGCTGATTCAGAACAAAGAGTGCCATCTACTGAAAGACCACTTACCTGTCTAGTAATTTATCACCCTATGCTTGTTACCATGAAATAGGCTCAAAATAGCATCTGGAAAAAAATGAAATGGGAGAAAAAGACACAAAGTGTTATACCAAGGTAACTCTGATAGGCAGTGGTCAGAGGTGGAAGTTAAAGTCCACTCTTAACCCTTTGGAAAGGGACTGAGGTTGTTTTCCTTCCTGTGGAATTGTATGGGAAGATTCTAAGACAGTCACCTAGAATGAGGAAATAACCATGGATATTTAGTCATAATTGTTTAGAGGAGTCAAATCATTTAAAAATGACAAAATGGACCAAAGTATCCTGGGATTAAACAAATGCATTTGTAGATGGGGACCAGTAGACCTATTCCAGGATGGAGGGTGACGGTACATGAATTCATAATGTACCCTGGTCCAAGCAGATTGGTTGGAGAGCAAGGGCCGCATGCATTTTGCAGGCACTGTCTCTCACCCTGTTGCCACTTTTTTTCAGGGCTCCATATGCTAGATTGCAGCTACAGATTTAGCCCTTTTGCCCAAAGGCATCTGAACCTGTGAAAAGCCTAGCTAGGGCACTGTCTATTGTTCATTGACAACTTGTCAATTTACTTCCAGGCAAAATAACTCATAAACATGATAAGGAAGGCAGATAAAACAAGAATTCTTTCACACTTTGCAACTTTACTGCAAAAAGGGCTTATTTTCCATAAATGTGTGAATCTCCCCTCTGAATTGTGACTGTGCACTGAACTTTAAAACTGTTTAGAAACAGCACGAGCGTTTCACAATTGCTGTCTGTAATAAGATGAATGTTAAATATTAAACATGCATCAAAAGCGATAAAATAAAAGATTTTTAAAGGTTCATTCACATCACAGTATTTCTGTTTATTCTGGGTTAATAAAAGTTAAGTCTAACAATAATCTCAAAAAGAAGCACAATCTTCTACATTTGGCATTTTATATGTCTATATTAGCTATGTCTATATTTTATATGTCTATGTTATCTGAACCCTTATGTCAGTAAGAAAAAGCAGATATAGTGAACTATATTAGTATTAAATTCAAAAGCTGGTATGTGGTGTGTTACCATATGTTCAAACTGTAAGGAAGTGGCTTTTATTTCTGATTTTTATAAACATTCCATTTCTAATGTACTGTTTAAATAGTGAAAGCTAATTGTGAATTCTTTTAGGTAAAATATTTTAAGTAGATAATAATTTTGAAATATATTAGTCTCTAAGGCAAAGCATTCAGTTTATGTGTGGTTATTTATAAAGTCATACTTTTTAATGAAGCCATGTTCCCTGGATTCAATTCCCTGGTAATGAATTTGATTTTAAGCTCCTTGCTTACTGTAATAACATCACAAAGTTATGCTCTACCCGGGTGATTTTCCCTAGGTGATCTTCCATATCACCAAGCATGCTATTTTGGATAGAATGGTAATGCAGGGGAAAACAGACAGGATGGAATCCCCTATCCAAGACCAGATTCCGTGTCCCAGTGGTCTTCCTGTTGGGAACTTTGCCCTGGCAAACAGATTCCCCACTTTTTCATTTTGCGGGTTTAAAAATCCTTGTAGTCTCCCCCGCCCCATTTCCACATATTTTATTCACTTACTGTAGAATATTTATAATTGGGAGCACATATGCATCTGTTACATAACAAATGGCTTTTGGGAAATAAGTGAGAGAACATGAGAAAAGAAATTTAAAAGACTGTAAAAAAGGGGAGTAAAACAAATCTGTGATAAACAAGGATGCCTCAGAATAGGACATGTTTTTGAGGAAGCGCTGTTTACCCTGAGCCCTGACTCTGTGGACAGAGACCTGAGTTCAAATCATGTCACCGGCACCAGCTGGTTCTCACCTCTGGGGCAGCCATCTGTCCATCTTTATCTGTGAACTGAGGTTGAACCAATTTTCTCCCCATGGGAGAAAAAAGACTGCAATGAGTGGGTTCCGGACCCTTATCACTTTTCCCCTTTTACGTAGAGGGAGTGTCTGTAAAGTTTTTAAAAAAGAAAAATTTCTACTTCTGTATAAAGGGAGGGACCATCATTGCCTGATCTAAAATTGTGTTTATCACGTGAATAGTATACTCAGATAATATAATAATTAACCCTCAGAAATTCTCTCTAAATGGAGCCATGCAGATCTCAGATGACTCTAGTGTTTCTTTTAAATCAGGAAATGAATACATGCAGACCTTTGTCACTGGATTTCTGTGGTAACACGGAAAGCATACATACTTGTGCCAAGAAACCTACACTTGTTTTATTTATTTATTTTGAGACAAGGTCTCACTGTGCAGCCCAGGCTGGCCTAGAGCTCTTGGTCCTCCTCTTACCTCCTCTTACCTGGGTCTCCTGATGCTGGGATTACAGTCAGACGCTATCACACTTGATGGAGCCTATATTTTAAATGCTATTTTTTTCTTTTCTAATTTTCTGCAGTGATCTTATTATGGAAGCTGTGAAATTCTAAATACTAAGTTTTCAAAAATTCTAGCATGGTAATAAGTTAAAGCCCATAGTTTTCAACAAGCCATGGGATATTCCCGCTTCTGCATCTTGACTTTCTCATAACGATTCACCATTGCGGCTGCGGGCAGTAAGCATCAGCCTCCATCTCCCCATCCCACACCCATGTAACTCACCATCACTTCCTGGCTTCCATCTGTGCTGGGTTTCCTCCCTCAGTGCACAGAACCACGTACTTTCTCCCAGGAAAATAAATCCTGTCTGCACACCCAATTTCCTTCCCTGTCAGGGCCATTTCGAATTTTAATCTTTTCTCAAAAACTAAGCTGGCCATTCTACTTAACCTTGTATCCTTGGCAAGTTAATGAGTACCTTATCCCTATTTTTAATAAGATTGTTTCTTACCATCACTTAAGAAAAGAGCAGTAACAGGAGAGTATGTTGTTCTAGATGAGAAGAGCTACAGAGTGTTTGTGGCAGAAATTCCTTGCAGCCAGACATCGCGAAAAAAAGAAAAGCAGTGAGTCAGGATTAAGGAAAACAAAGAGTCAGGAGTAAGAGAAAGAGGACAAAAAAAGATACAGAAAATGAAGGAAAAATATTGATATGAACCAACTATGCCTTTGTGATTGCACAACACTGAACCCAGTATTGAATATGTGAGTTTAGAGTGGATTTGCTTAATTTGAAGCATGCTGTTTCATCAGAAGCACAGCAAAGAGGCAGCTTAGCACTGGACGTCAATTAATATTCTTCCAAAGGACTGGCAGGAAGCCACGGTGGACGTCTAGTTGGAGACAGTGTGTCACACTACTGTTGACTATAAAATTAATTACCATTTCTAAACAAGAAGTCTGAGATGCATATTCTTCCAGGCTTACTGTACTGCCCTTCTGGCATTAAAAGTTATAAATAATTATTTTTTAAAAACAGTGTCCTTTAGAGAACTAAGCAACAAAAAATATATTAACAATCCCAGGAATAATGATAAAAAGAACACCTTGTGTGGTGGGACCAGCTACACCGTGACGACAGGACTGAATATTAAGAAGTGTCACCTACCTAAAGTAAGTGTTAGACATTCACATGATGGCATCAGCTGCTGATCTAATGCATCTGGAGCTGCCCTGTCACTAAGGCATTACTAACCAAGGCAGGGACGCAGACAAAGCTGCTTCATCATTAATGTCAGTAAAAGGATCTGGAGGAAAAAGAGAGTCTCTGGAGGCCTCGTCTGGACTGCTTGGAGCCTGGACAATAGTTTTTTCCAACGATGCTGTTTTCTACCCTTGCAGTAGCTGCAGAAAAGGGGGACAGGAGGGCGTTGACTTGAATTGTCATTAAGTTCAAAGAGGTGAGGGTAGTAGTCCATGATGAACCTTTACAGTCAGAGTTATTAATGGGGAGTTCTTTTTACTGCTTTCTGCAAATACCACATTTATGAATAGTGCTAAATTATCCTGGGTTATTGTTTGGCATATGTTGACTGGTCTGCTTTAAGCTGATACGATTAAAATCTATGCTGTCTTTGTGAAAAGGCACACAGAGCACAAAATTTCTTTCTTGCAGTTGTAGTGTATAGATTTAAAATAGAACTATCAATCTAGGAAATATGGCTCTGGCTGGTAGTTGGGTACTGACTGGTTCAAGGATCATATTCAATGAGAAGTTATTAATGTTTCAAAGGCAACCTAAAAGGACACATCAAATGATATTCTACAGGGGTCTGTCTAGGGTGGTAATATTTAACATTTTATCAGTGGCTTGGATGATAAAATATGGAACATGATCATAAAGTTTCATGGAAGACTCTTAGTTGGGAGAGATAACAAGAACCTTGGAAGATCTACTTATGATTTAAGATGACCTTGAAAAGTCAGGAGAGGAGTCATTAAAGATCGGGTCAGCTGACAGGTAAGGCTCAAATGACTGAAAAAACGAGAGAAAGAGGGGTGTGTGTAGGGAAATGTGAAACTCACTAAATACACATAGTTGGATAAATATGACTTATGATAGAGAAGAGCACCCCTGACATTGGAGTATCACATAGTGCACATCATACACAGATTATAAAGTAGCTTGATGCTCTACGATTGGATTTAAGAACAATGTAAGCAGATTGGAAACCATCCAATAAAGGCAAGAATTAAAGAGTTCTAAGAGGAAAAGGAGTGAATGCCTTATGGTTCACGAACATGGAAAATTGAGACCATAGTGGTTTATTTACGATTCATTGTTAGTAGCTCTCGCTGTCTCACAGTAAAGATGCATCATTTTCTTTAGGTTTTATTAATGAATCTCCCTACTCAATTGCTTACCTTCTGGTCATTCTTCTGGTTTGCTTTTGTTCAGAATTGAAGCATGTAGCACGTGCTACTGACAGTGCACCAATTTATTTGCCACTCAGTAGCTCAGCACCAGTCTGCGGTCCTTCATGTGACTCAACGGTCTCCTACCTGCTGGATGCTGGCATGACAAAGTCTGAGGGTCCAGTGCACAAAAGGAACAGTGTGGCTGTTCTGGAATCTCCTTGTAAGAGTTTTAGGGGGGTCAATTACAACGTAGACATCCTTCTTCTACCAAAAGACTGGTTTTCACGGATTCTCACTGCTTCTTCAGTGTGTAAAGAAAGGAAGAGGGCGAACCTGTGAAAACAGAGGACCGGCCCACAGGGAAGAGTGCACTGCGTTACTGCAGAGGAGTAAACATCTTCAGGTCTCAAGTAGTGGATTAAGAGCCGCAGCAGAAAAGCCATAAAAACCCAGATGTTGAAGACTCTTTAAAGTGTGACCTTCAAACAATCACTGAAAAGACTTGAGTTTTCATTACTGCTTTTTAATTCCCAATAAAAGAAAATAATCCACATTGAGTGTGTGTTTATTCAAGTGGTTGTCAACATTGGCTCCGTCCAGTGGGTAGCCGAAAAAGTGAGGTTTGAATGACTGAAAAAATAAAGAAAAGATGGGTGTGGATAGATAAATATGAAATGCATCAAACATGAGCAACTGGATTAATATAAATCATGCTAGAAAAAATCAAGTGATATTGAGCATCATGAAATGAACGTAACATACAAAATTATGAAGTAGTTTGATATTCTATGGTTGGCATTATCCCAGATAATTTATAAATACTGCTTCCTACATCCCAGACTCCAGAGATTCTTTTTTGTTTGTTTTGTTTTTATTGCACTGGGGATCAAACTCATGACCTCATGCTTGTCAGGCAGGTGCTTATGCCTTTGAGCTAAATCCTGGTACCTCAGAGATTCTGATACAGGTGTCTGGGGTTGAGCCTGGGAACTGGGATTAAATCCTTGGTTAGAAGACACTAAGATATGCTGTATCTTATGGCATGTGGCAGGCTCAGTAAGGCTGATTATTGGCATTTTGTACGTCTTGCAGTTCCCCTGGCTTCACTGTATTTCTAGCTGCCTTCGTCTTAACCCTGGACAGTCCTTCATGTCCACATTTGCTACTTCCTTTCATTGAGTGTAATAATGCACTGTGCGTTCTTGGATTTCCACTGAAGGCATTCTTCTCAAGTTACTCAGCTTTCAAAACATGGACCTATATGGCTTGTCCCTCCCTGGGCTTATCCCTGGAGACCAGGAGGGGCACAGGACAGTGTGGAATTATTTGTGGATTATCTTTGTGAATAAATTCAAATTCCTCAGTGAGTACTGTGGAATAGTATTACAAAATGAAAAGAATCTCTGGGTAAAACCACAATGGAGAGGCAAACCATAATGGGATGTGGGCTAAGA